GTTTGCCGGAAGGAACCGCCGGGGACTTGCCCTCACGGCGTTCCTGCCTCCTGTCCTCCTCCCACTTCCTCGTTCGCTCAGCCAGATTTTTGACTGCACGACAGTCCGCGAGATCGTGGAGGGAGGTGTTGTGGACGGAGCACCACCTGCCGGCGGGGCGCTCCCTGCTGGGAGTACCAGCCTCTTTCTTTTTGTCGCTCGCAGGCCTCCCCTTTCGAGTGGCCCGCGAAGCGCCCTCGACGGCGAGGACATGACCCTCGTCGCCGGAACGGTCCGACCTCTTCTTCCTCCTCCTGTCACGCCGCCCTGTCTGAGCGGCGGATCCGGGGGCGGCCGAAGCTGCCACTCCGGAACCGGAGGAGTTCCATGTCCACGCTTCCTCCTTACGAGCCACTCGGTCCGCGAGCTGAAAAAGCTCCGCGGTGGTCTGGGGCTCTTTGGAAGCGATCTTTTCGAGCATGCGGTTGTGTCGCACGCCCCCCCTGAACGCGTAGATCACCGCGTGTGCAGGGATGCATGGTATAGTATTGCGGACTTGGCAAAACCGCTGAATGTACGAGCGAAGCGACTCATCATCGCCTCGCTGTACTGCATGCAAGTCCGCTTCTTCGCCTGGGCGTGGATATGTGCCTTGGAAGTTCATGGTGAACTGTTGGCACAGATCCTCCCAGGAGTGGACCGACGCGGGTGGCAAGTTCATCAGCCAACCCCGCGCCTGTCCCTTTAGGGCCATGGGAAAGAAATTCGCCATGACCCTGTCGTCACCCCCAGCGGCCTCGATCCCGGTCGTATAGACCTGGAGAAACTCGGTGGGGTTGACGCTCCCATCGTACTTCTCGGTGATGGTGGGCCGGAACCTTGGGGGCCAACGGACATTCCGAAGACTCGCCACAAAGGCTCTACAGCCGACACCACCAGCCGGGGGCACGGAGGGCTGATCCTCACGTCCATGTCGAGGTGACACTCTGGACGAGGAGGCGCCCTCCGTTGCACGGGGAGTACGCCGGCTATTACGCCGGCGCTCGATGTTGAGGCGGGCATCCGGCTCCCCATGCTGATCCTCCCGAGTCGAGGGTGTCGACGAGGGAGTGGCAGCCGAATGCCGTGCAGCCGCCGCCGCTCGCTGCGCCCTCCGCCTTGACGACACGGAGCCGGTGGTAGCGGCGCCGGAGGTCTTGGTGGTGGCGGACCGTCCACCAGCACCCAGGCGCTGCTGTGCCGTCATGACCAAGTTGGCCACGTCTTCCAGCCATCGCTGGGCTGGAGACTCAGGGTCATGGACGACGGGCGGGTGACGTAGGAGCGCGCCAGCAGCCTGAAGCGCACCCTGAGGCGTGCTGCCGTCGCCGTAGACGAGGAGGCGACGCTCCCCATCTCGCTGTTCCCCTGCATCACCTGCGACTGGTGATGCTGCGGATTTATTCACCCTCTCGAGCGCCTCCCCCTGCTTAGGACTTTGGTGTGGAGGTGGGGGAGTACGAGCTCGACGACGTGGGTTTGGCTCTCCGTCGTCGCCGCTCACACTCGGAGAGAGGTCGTGCGCCTTTGCTTGCTCGGCCATTAGGCTGAACAAGGGAAGCTTGGCGGACACGGAAGAGTATGAGAGCTCAGAAAACACACGCTGAGCCCCCTACCTGGCGCGCCAGATGACGGAGCTCGTGGCTCCTCACCGGGAGACCGCGCAGGCCCCCCTTTGCCGGTTCGGCCGGGGGCTTAGGGTGAGATCTCAAGCTCTCGCTGTGTGTGGAAAGATCGTCCGCCCGCAAGACACACGAGACACGGCGATGTATACAGGTTCGGGCCGCTGCGAAGCGTAATACCCTACTCCTGTGTTTTGGTGGATCTGTGTATGAAAGAACTACAAAGTGTGAGCCGACCTCTCCCTTGTTCTAGGCTCTGAATCTGGAAAGAATCATCCCCCTTCTCTATGGGCAAGGTCCTCCTTTTATACTTCAAGGGGATACCACATGCACCCTTCTCTTTCCAAACTGGACTTTTCTTCTCTTTATGGACGGAGATTGGTATGGTTGCTGTCCGAATGACACTTTGATGGGACAGCCCACACCTACCTCCACTCCCAGCGGAGACGGGCGCAACGTGGGATCGTGGCTGCCCGTTGCTGACGCGACCAGTGTCAGACCGGTCATTCTTGTCCACCACGCGTCAGTTTAATAGCATGCATGTTTGCCCTTCTTCGTGTAACACCTTGTCTGTAATGGTTAGGATGAAGCCTGGTATAAATCTAACCAGGGCTAACGTGCCATCTCTAAGAGATAACACGCTAGCTCCGGCTTGAGACGAGTTGCCTAGAGGCTTTCGTCTTGACGGGATGGGGCAAGGCGTGCGTCAGACCGCCAGTCGCCACCTAACCCTTGATCTGACCGGTCTGTGACTGGTCACAGACCGGATAAAAGAGCGTGCTGTACTGCGTTGCATGCAGCGTGACACGCTTGACCAAACTGCAATAAATGCTGTTAGGTGAGCACAGCTGTGCTCACTTATCCCATATATGTGGCGCAGACTCCTTTAAGGGGTCGGGGTGCTTCGGCCCTCGGGGTCGGGGCAAAAGCAACCCGACCCCCCCTCGGGGGAAATCAGGAGGAGGGCGGACACCTCACCCTCGGGCCCGACGTCCCCGAAGGTGCCAGGCCACGTGGGCGATTGTGTCTGCCTCAAGCCTCTGGTCATGATACTCCCGGTCCCATATCACCGACACAACTTATAATATGAAACGGAGGAAGTAGTAGTCATTTGTTTTTTCAAAATGAATGCACAGGCAAATATGAAGTGGAAAACATAACTCGCAATTTTTTTTAGATGGTGCACAAATATTATATTAAACTAGATGGGTACTCCACGCGTTACAGCAGGAGAATTGTGTGATAATATAGTAGATATGAGTTCTCTTTCTTACCTACTATACGATTTTTTTCATGTGTTTATATATTTTGTAACTTTATAATTATCCTAAGGATATAAATGGTTTGGTTGTATGGTGTGCCTTTTGGGGGAAGAGATGCAATTTACACTCTTGATGAATCATCCAAAGGCTAAAAACAATTGAGGTGATGTGGCTTCATGAGAGAAGAGAGAATTAGCATTAACTACACTTAGTGGGGATGAACTTTATAGATATATAGGACAAGACAAAAAAATTACAATACAAGAAAAATTTTATCTCTTTCTTCCATATTCCCTTTTTATAGAAGAAAAAGATATTGAGATTCATTCCACTTTTACCCCCGAACTATTTAATTGGAATGTTTAACCCTCTAAACTATTTTTTTCTCATTTTATATCCCAAACTATTAAAAACGGTTCACTTCACTTCCCTAACGCTACTATTTTTTTCTCTATATAAGCCGTATTTTGCACTTTGGCAAAATAAGATATGTTCACAACAAACAAAAAATTAAGTCTGATTTAAACATAAAATTTCAAACAAACAACCATGAAAATATTTTTAAAAATAAAACTTTGATAATATAGCCATATATGGCTCTAACAAATTTCATATAAAAAACAACTTTAATAAAGAGCAATTAAAAAAGAGAAATGTTCTTATGAAGTAAAATGAACCACTTTCAATAGTTTATAGGTAAAATGAGAAAAAAAATACTAGTCTGTCCAAAAAAAGCTAAACTCTGGCTTGTGTCCAGGTTCATAGCTAGGATTAGACTTTTTTTTGGGACGGAGGGGATAGTTAGGAAGTTGAGTGATTCTTTGAATTAGTTCAGAGAAGTAAAATGGACTTTTTTTTTCTCAAATTTTCTAATATCACACTAACTACATGCGGGGTGGGGTTCTTTTATATTTTTTGAGGAACTTTTTTGTAATGTGTTTTTTTTATCGTTTCCATGGTATATTTTACCCAGTAATAGCAAATGATTTTTACCGTTTCCATGGTATATTTACCTAGTAGTAGCAAACAAGCCTGCCAGATCTTGCGGCCAGGTAAATAGTATTAAAAGTATATTGAATCCTAAACATAGGCATAAAACTTTTGTCCATCGCAGTCTAACCATTTAAGAAAATTTGAACAGCCATAATAATCAACCGGAATAGCTACTGAGTAATTCTCCTTGTGTTCGCTCACATAGGATATCAGAGCATCACTCATATTTTTTTGAACTCTTAGGTCTCCTTTGGAATGTATGATTGTGAAAATATAGGAACAGGAAAAATATTGATAAGAGTGTCATACCTATTGAATTCCTATAGCAAATTAAAACAAAGAGAAAAACATGAGGACAAACGCAAACATGAAGAAAGTTCTGAAACTATCGTTTGGATGATATATAGGAAAAACGCTGGAACTTTGTGTCATTGGGAGAGAAAAACATGAAGAACCTCATGCTAGACTCCTCCAAAATTCATAGTTCAAATCCATAAGAATTTTGAAGGAATTTGAGAGAGCTTTTACTTTGTTCCAAAGGACCATATATGATTTTTTTTCTCAGGAACCAAATCCTCCAAAATTCCTTGTTTTCCCTTCATTCCAAAGGAGCCCTTAATAATGAATTCATACGATTGTGTGATCCGCCAATTTGTACTCCCTCCATTTCACATTATATGAAGATTTGGTATTTTCATCCCTCGTCTAGATTCACTAATATTCACATAAATTTGAACTGAAACACATACATGGATCTATGTATGAATCTATTCAAAACCCAAAATGACTTATAATGCAAAATAAGTAGCAGTTTGTTCTATTATGGCATCGGGTATGATGATGAATATTAGATGTGGAATTTCAAACCCATTCTCAAGCAATGGCGATCAATAGGAGGAATTCCTTACCTATTCTGACCATCTTTTTCAGATGGATTCTAACCCTCTTCATTGCACAAAAGTTAGCCTTCCATCTGGCCAAAAGAAATAGAGAAGTTTGCTTGTCATATAATAAACAGTGGGGAAATTAAATCACCAAACCAGCATTCTGCTTGAAGCGGGGTCATCATTATTCCCTATTTCACAGCATACGGGATAACATCACATTGCCTTGGGAAAATACCTCATATACTGATCATGTTCTCATAGAACAAGTCTAACAACTGAATCAACATCTTTCTCTCTCTAAAAAATCAACATCATATCAAACAGAGAATGTGCAAGAGAACTCTACAAGACTGCAAGGGACACATCGAACATGGTAACAAGATCGTGGTAACAAAATGAACTAATCGGTATAACCGGTAAATACATTATGATAGTTCTGTCCAACTGCTATCCATGGGAAAAAAATGTATGGCACAATTTACATCTTAGTCCCGTAAAAATATGTTTGGTGTTAGACTGAATTAATTAGCCTTGTCATGAATAAGGAGCATCAGAATTCAGAAGAGTCTTGTAAATGCACAACAATCTGCATCAATATTTTATCATGTTCCCTGGTTTATCTTTTGAACAGAAGATGGGGAACATTGTCACAAAGTGCTCAGGAAATAACCTGCATAACAGAAAACGGTTAATCCCATAATATTATACTCCCTCTATTTCTAAATATTTGACACCGTTGACTTTTTAGCACATGTTTGACCGTTCGTCTTATTCAAAAACTTTTGTTAAATATGTAAAACTATACTTATACATATAAGTATATTTAACAATGAATCAAATAATAGGAAAATAATTAATAATTACTTAAATTTTTTTAATAAGATGAACGGTCAAACATATTTAAAAAAGTCAACGGTGTCAAATATTTAGAAACGGAGGGAGTATTAGTATAGGAGAAAAGCCAAAGAAATAAGGAATATATAACTTACAAAAGTTCATTCTGCAACTTGATGCATAAAGCAGGGCATAGCAGTCCTCAACATGGATAAGGGCTTTCATCCAATAAAAATAGAAATGAGACTGCACTGCATGATATGAAATTGGAACTAGCGCGCCACAGAGGAAACCCAAGCCCTAACTCCCATTCTTTCTTTCTTTCTTTTTGAATCAACTTTCCATTCTTTGGAGGTTTGCGCATCCTAAGTTTTGTCAAGAGTCTTTCTATTCTATCAAAATTACGAATTTTCCACTGAAAACACTACCATGAACCATAATAAACTCGTGGCTCATAATTATCATGATACAAGTCGTCCACATAAAACTCCACCAAATATCAAAGCGCCAAACCACTTATTGGACACAAATCTGCAGAGTACCAACAGAGCTAAGTGAGTTAATAATCTCATAGATATACAAAAGAATGAACACATTTCGGTTCAATGTAAAAACACATACTTCCTGTTGCAATCCAGGCGGTCAGATAAATCAACAGTTGAAATCTGCCATGCTAACTGCGCAGATGCAGCAGCTAGAAAAGGATAGTAAGGCCATGCTGTCCAACATGAGTAAAGTTTGCAGTCAATATCATGTATGCCAATAAATATTTGTTAAACAAGGCATTATGATAACATTCACCAACCAAGGTCAGCACTGTAGCCACTGAGTGCTAAGCTGCCAATGCATGCAACACCGAAGCCACTAATCCAGTGTTTTGTTAAATCTCCAAACCTTAATGCTGTGGACTTGACCCCTACTTTGAGGTCATCTTCTTTGTCCTAGCATATATTTGGATAAGAAATTACGTTATCTACTAAGATGTTATCACTAAGGTAAAACATCAAAAAAAAAAACCATTAGTACCTGATGTGCATATATGGTATCATATACGAGTGTCCAGCATATACCAGCGGTATACAATGGGAGGATGATGGCAGGATCTAAGCTTTCTTTAATGGCAGCCCATCCTAACAAAGCTCCCCAATTAAAGGTCAAGCCAAGATACGCCTGAGGCTGTAACAAATGCATTAAAATGAACACAATTGATCACCGTTGGTGAAATAAGTTCACATTATTATGACTTCCATGTGCTCAGTGCATACCCAAAATGTGAATCTCTTCATCAAGGGATAAGAGAAGACCAAAAAAAGTGAAGATGCCCCAAGAATACGGCTGCACGAAAAATATAACGCAGTGATGGAGGTGAATATTAATGTGCTGACATAAGCAAAAAAAGAAATTGCAGAAATATAAAATGCAAGCAGCTTGTATTTTGTTAAGTGGATAAGAAACTAGACTTAAAACATATTCAGTTTTTGCATTCCAAACTTAGAAGATAAACTCGAGTGTTGCACCAAATATCTCCGTGCTATTTTCTGCACAAAACCTTGAAAAACACCTATTGTTATTTAGTCAAACAAGGCCAATGTACCTATAGTTATTTAGTTGGAGAAGAATGCCCAATCCCAGTAAAAGCTGCAATCCAAGGAAGCCCACTCCTTGTGTAGGGGTTAGAATGCCTGATGCAAAAGGCCTGCTTTTGGTGCGCTCAACCTACAAGAAAACAAATACTTTTCTGTCAAAGATCAAGATGCTGAAATCCCATCAGAGAGTAAACTGCTTTATGTTCCTGGTTGACCATTCCACTGAATTGTTCTTGGAGCAACTGGTGATATGGTGATGACATTTAATATGGTTATTGGTTTTTTAACTTGAAAACTGCAACAGTCTGAAAGGCATTTCTCTTAACAGGAGAAAGTACAACGAAACGGAAACGATTAACACAAATCACCTTGTTATCAATGTCTCGATCAAGAAGATCATTGACCGTGCATCCAGCGCCTCTGAGGAGGACGGCTCCACATCCGAAGAGTGCCAGCATTCTCATGTCAGGCAGCTCCCCCGGCATCGCCGCCATTGAGATTGACCTACGAAGAAAGAAACAAACGGTTCCAGCCTCATGTAGGTTGCTGTGGTGGTGGTGTACTAGTAGCAGCAGTGGTAGATTATAGACAGTATAGTACCAGAAGCAGGGCCACGCGAGGAGCCAGGTGCCGATGGGCTTGTCGAGGCGGGCAAGCATGGCGTAGGGGCGCGCCGCCTGTGGGAGCCACCTGTCAACCCACGAGGACGGAGGCGCCGCCGCGGGAGACGGGTGCGGCGGCGAGGAATCCTCATCCGGGGAGCCGTCGGGGGAGGCGGAGGAGGAGGTAGAGAGGGGAGAGTAGATCGAGAAGGTCGCGGGGAGCAGGATCCCCCTGCCGACGTAGGAGGAAGACGAGACGCGCGGAGGCGGAGGCGGAGGCGGCCAGCTTCGACGGCGGCGGCATAGCGGAGGCGGAGGCGGAGCGAAGTATGGGGCGACGGGACTGGGGCCGTCGGGGCAGGATTCCGGGGTGGTCGGTGGAGGCGGCGAGAGAGCGGAGAGTAAGAGTGGGAGCGGGGCGCGGCGGTGGCGGCGGAGGAGGTCGGCGGCGGCGGCTGCTCGGAGTAGAGCCATGGGCTTGTTTGGAAAAGGAAAAAAAAAAACTAGGGAAAATTTTCGGATCTACAAGGGTTTCCCCACTTGCCAAGTGACAGGAGACAGAGAGAGAGAAAAGAACTGAAGAAGAACAACAAGCTCACCAGGGAGATCTCACCGGAGTGGGAGATGAACTAGAGTCTAGAGGCGGTTGCGGCATCGATGGTGGGCGGCTCTGTGGTTGAGGTTTTGATGGGAGATGGCCGTGCCGTCGAGGGTTGGCCAACGCCGTCGCGGCACCGGCGGAGACAGAGGCCAACGCCGGAGACGGAGGCAGTCGCAGCTATACCGGGCCAAACGGGCGGCCCGGCTCAGCCCGGCCCGTTAGGCACGGCTTCTGTAGCGGGCCGGCACGGACCCATCAATGGCCCATGGACCTAGTCAGCCCGTTGGCACGGTCGGCCCGAAGTGAGGCTGGGCTGCTGGGGAGCGCGGCACAGGCGGAAAATGGAGGCGGGAGTGGCTCAGCGCCTCAGCGGGCGGGCGCGCGGGGGACCGCGAGACGCACGGTCTCATGGAGGACAGCGATTGCACAGGATACTACCCCCACCAGGGAGTGTATTGGGCATGTTCCTAGCTCCCAATATTTAATTTTAGTAGCATTTCTATATGATCGCTGCTCGATAATTCTTTCGCATAGACTGAAGGTTGATTCGGAGGATACCGAAGATACGGGCACCGTCAACACATCCCGTGCTAGTTTTGAAAGCACAGGATATGACATCTTGTGATCGTTCCACCATCGAGTAGATGATTCATGGTTGATAGCGTCGCTATCCAAATAGTTGGACAACTCTTCAACGGGACCATGCGATCTAGCGTCACCACTTGCTGCTGACGAACTACTACACCACCATGGCTAGAAGATGAGCCACCCCAAATTCTGCTCCACTGTAACTTTTTCTTACCTGCTGCAGGGGCTGGTGGGGGTCTTTGCAAATGAACTCCTTGAAACTTTAATTCATACTTCCCAAATACCTCATAAAATTAGTTTTAACATCAGAATAATAGGAATAATCAATATTAATTATCTCCAATAATTGATAGAATATTGAGGAATCCCCGTAATTTTCCCCTAGAATCAAGAATAAATGCAAAAGCGTAAAACATGGGGGGATGTTTTTCCAATATTTAAGATATTTTTGTTTCATACTAGAGACTGCGGACATTAAAAGTTCACCATTTTCATACTCTTTCAACAGAGTGGCAATTTCAAGAATATTATGCAAAATTAAATTAGTTGCTGGATGATATACTTGAGATAAAAGAAGAGTACAGTTATGAAATGTTTCAAGAAATTGATTGAACCTTTCAATTCGACAATATGCCAAGTACGGTCAATTGGTATTGCCTGGCTGTCCCTGTTTGTTGGTCTATTACATGTTGAAGAAAAACAGTAAGTAATTATCCTTTAACATATAATAAGTGGCATTCCGTCGATGTTCCGCATCGGTTATAAACTTACGTCGGGGCTTATTCGATGCACGACAATACCTTTTTCGTTGTGCAATCCGTGGGTTTGAAGCAGTTAACCACGTGATTGCTTGACGAACGGTGTCGATGGGTACATTCACTCTCTTAAAACCACATTTAACAATTAGATTAATAATATGGCATGCACAACGATGATGCAGAAGAAATGATTTAGCATAAACACAAAATAAGGGTTGCAGAATTTGCATGGCCCTAGAAGAGATGCACTATTAGTTGTTACAGCAAAGATGTTATCTACAAGGCTATACTCATTAATAACCTCTCGAATTCTCTCTACTATATTTTCATCAGTATGTGCAACATCAATTGACCTTAGCCCAAGAACTATTTTTTGCATTTGTCAGTCATCATAAATGAAATGTACAACTACACTAAGGTAATCCTCTTTACCCCTACTACTCCATATGTTTGTGGTGACATTAACAGAAAAGTTGCATGTACTAAATAATTCCTTCAGTGATTCACAACCTTTGTCATAGACATTTTTTAAATCACGGGTTGTGGTTTGTCTACTAACAGCTTAAAACCTAGGATTATGAGAAGTTTTGATGTAATTTTCAAATGCAGCACTCTCACCAAAGTTCAAGGATAAATCGTGTCTAGCAATTAAACGGACAAGAGATTCTCGAGCTACTATAGGATCGTTCTCCCATGTACGTAACCGTACCATCAGGATTTAGTAGCAGTTGCTGCTGTCATAGTTGGATTCATTGCTTCTTTACACAAGCCTAAGCATGTTGCTTCAAGTGTATTGTTCCACCAATTGATTTTGCAGATATTTTTTGCATATTCTACATTTCGCGAATGTTACCTGCCTTCCAAACGCCGGAAGTTCTTGATCTCTTTGAGCTGGTGTTCGTCGATGCACTCCCGCGCATAGTACCAAATCCTTCTAAACCCGCCGGTACCTCCTCGGCTCCTCCACAGCTGGTGGTGTTGGAGCCAACCTGGTCGCATCATACTCACCAGGTGGGAATGATCCCGACAAGTAATTAGGGTCGAAAAATCACCAAACGTGAACGACGGAAGGTTCGGATCGTCCATTCTGAAATGTTAAAACAACGTGAACAAATTTTCAGAATATTTATTCACATAAAATAAATAAAGGGTTAATTAGATCTATACCACTGTAACTTTGACGATTTTGAAATATGCCATTACTATTCATCTATTTGAAGGCATGCCATTATAATTCTATAGTTATTTGAAATATGCCACTACTTACCCTTTCAATGTATTTTCTTAAACTTTTAGACTAAATTACCCTTGTCTTCTTCCTCCATCTCTTCTTCTCCAACATATGCATCCCCTTTCTTCACCCAGTGATACCGACCTGCCGGTGCACTGATGCATGCTCTCTGCGCGAGCCCCTTCCTGCGGGGCGTTTTCACACGTTGGGCCGTTGGCGTGTAGGGTGACAGACTAGAGCTGAAAATGGTAAAAGTTGCAATGGCATGGATCTAATTAACCCTAAAATAAAATACAAACAATACAGAAGTATGAATATTATGGTGTACTTCTTTATTACCAGTTACCACCTTGGCTTTACAGCTCTGGTGTGCACTATTTTTTATTTCTGACAAAAATTTTGACTAAACAAAAAGACGAACTAGCACACAAAAGAGCACAAGAAAGCATAAATTGAGAGGTTTGGATGATCTAGAATGCTAAAAAGAAATTTCATATTTTTATTTTTTTTTCATGCTGCAACGGCTACTCCTCAAATATAGCCGTTGGCTAGTTGGCCTAGCCGTTGCAAACACTGGACAGGACACGTGGCGCCATAGTATTGGCTGGCGAGTGGCGACGCACTGAGCTGTACGCGCGGGCGCGGCGCTGTACGGCACTCCTCGCCTCCCTGCCCGGCCCTGCCCTCCACCGCTTGACGATGCCATGCGGCACACGCTCTCGCTCCCGCCGTCCCGCTCCCACGTGGCCACGTCCTGCTCCCGTGTGGCCACGTTGCGCGTGCTCGCGTCCTCCTGCCCCACCGCTGACTGGCTGGCTGACCGTGCCGCCCGTGTCCATGGGTGGTGCCGTGTTGGCCCATGGGCTGAGGCGCTGGCCCAGACACGGGATGGGAGAATGGGCCGTGCCGGCATGGCCCACATGCTACATGTATTGCTAGGACGGGGCCTACAATAGTAATGTCGTGATTGGGTCAGCCCGGCTTGGCACGACCCATTTGGCAAGTTATAGTCGTAGCGAAGAGTGCCATATGAGCCGGCTGACGGCGCTTCGTGCTACTGTCTACTCCTCGAGAGAATAAAGTTTGAAAGAGTAAATTTCGTAAAACCATACATACTTATGAGGACATAGCTATAGGTTTTTTAATCTAAAAGTTACATAAAATTTCACATTTATTAAAATATTGATTAATTTCAGTATATGTAGAACATTTTTTTTACAAAAATAGTGAAGAGTTAAACTAAAAACTTAATAATTGAAATTTTTTATACACTGTAGATTGAATTTTAAGTAAATTTCATGCTCAAACTCATAAGGGTGGGGGTGGGGATTTTAACAACTTTACAATCATATACCTAAGCGTAATGCCTCATAAGTTATATCTAGAACATTTTTTACAAAAATAGTGAAGAGTTAAACTAAAAACTTAATAATTGAAATTTTATATACACTGTAGATTGAATTTTAGGTAAATTTCATGCTCAAACTCATAAGGGTGGGGGTGGGGTTTTTAACAACTTTAGAATCATATACCTAAGCGTAATGCGTCATAAGTTATACACTACTACAAAAATCGTTTTTCTGTACGAGGGGATCGGTAGGTTCCATGCGGGCCGCTTGTGGCGGCGCCTGCAAAAACCGCCCCCCCGGGGCGGGTTGATTAGCCGCATGCGAAGATCCATTATCGCATGCGGCTGGTTAAGACAGCCGCATGCGATAATGGATCTTCGCATGCGGCTGGCTTAAGGGACCGCATGCGATGATCGGCCATATATGCTCCTCCAGGCCCGAGCTTGACCATTTGAAAACGAAGCTTTCTCTCTCCTAAAGCAAGCACCAATTAGGGGGGGAGGTTTTCAACTCGAAATTTTTACTTGAACTCTATACGAAAGGTGAAGAACTCTCTATCTTGCTTCATTTGGCTCCATTTTTGTTATATTTCGTTGGTGGAAAGTGGAGTTTTTTTAATATTTTGACAAGGTTTGTTCCAACTATTTTTTGCAAAATCTAGCTTCAAAATATATGTTTTGATGGGCAAATTTTGCATGTAATCAATTGTACATACTAGTTACATGTATTGTTGTATTTTTTTTGGGAGACAAATGCATTTAAACTTTTGTATGAAATACCTGCGGTCTATTTTTTTATCTGTAACTTTTTTGCCTTTATATAATTAGATGGATCGGTCGTCATGGATGTATGAGATGCGGAGAACGCAGCCGATATTTATTAAGGAAGCATCTAAATTTATTGATCAGGCTAAGGAGCATGCTTTGAGGGAGAATATGACAAAGATCTTTTGTCCGTGCCGTCATTGCAAGAATCAGAAATTGTTGGTAGATCCTGGTGAAATATTGGGTCACATAATGGAGTACGGATTCACCGCCAACTACAAGGTTTGGACCTATCACGGGGAATTCGCCAATCCGGAAGATGACGATGAAGAGTTAAGTTTCGAGATGAATGAGGCAGAGAATTTTATAATCGAAGACATGTCGCGTGAAAGAATGATTGTCGATGTTTCCACCGATAGTGATGATTTCGATGGTGGTTTTGATTTAGAGGATATGCTACGCCATGTTGAACCAG